TTTTTAATGTGACATATTATTTAAATGTCGGTCATCCTTTTCTGAAAGTTATATCTTTGTATGCAAGTTCATTTACTCCCACCATTCACCTTACTCAGTTTACTGAAATTGAGCCCTAAGAAAGTGATGGCTTATCCAAAGTCATATTAGTTCTAGAAGAACCTACCAGGATGTTTGAGGAAGAACATGGGGTTTGGGGAGATCTGAGTTAAAATCTGTAGGCCTCCGACTTGCTTTGTAAACTTGAGCAAAAGTTCCTTTACCTGTTGTACCTTTCATTCTGTGGAGGTAGAAAAGTATCTGTATCATATCATGAATTTGTCATTTTTAAATTTATTACTCCATTCCCAGATGTTGAATAGAAGTGTGATAAATCAGTCACAACTTTCTGTTGTGACAGACTCTTCATTACAAAACTAGCTTGTGTGAAATACATATACAGTTGACCCTGAAACAGCACAAATTTGAACTGCATGGGTCCACATGAATTTTTTTCAATAAATAATATTGGAAGATTGGAATTTGCAACAATTTGTAAAACCTGTAGATGAGCTATAGCCTGGAAATAATTGGAAAAAATAAGAAAAAGTTGAATATGTCATGAATGCAGAAAATATATGTAGATATTAGCCTATTTTATCATTTACTGCCATAAAATATACACAAATTGATTTTTTTAAAAGATAAAAAAAATTTTTTAATGTAGGCACACAAACACAGACCATACGTGGCTCTATTCTCAGGTAAGAGAAAATGTAAATAAACATAAACAAATGTAAAGGTACAGTATTAAGTCACATAAAATTAACTTTAGTACATACATAACTCTACTGCTGTGATAATTTTATAGCCACCTCCTGTTGGTATTGAAAAGAGCCCCCATATTATGAGTATCCATTTAAAATGCTGTGTGACTCTTGTCATCTCTGAACAGTTTGTCTCTCCAATAAGTCACATATCTCAGTAAAAGCAGTTCTCGAATAATTTTTACCGTATTTTATGCAATACTGGAAACTTTGATTAATACCATGGGACCCATACAAAGTGCCCCTAGTGATTCCAGAAGTGCTCCCAAGAAGCAGTTAAAAGTGATGTTAGAAAAAAAACGTTGAATTGTTTGATATGTGCTGTACGTTGAGGTCTGTAGCTACAGTTGCCCACCATTTCAAGATGAATGAATGCAGTATAAGGTTCATTGTGAAAGAAGAAAAAGACATTAAGGAAGCCATCGCTGCAGCTATACCAGCAGACACAAAAACCTTGCACTTTAATCTCATAATGAAAATGCAGCTTTTATGTAAATGCAGGATTGCTGCAAGAAAGGCATGCCTATGAACTCTAATATAATTTAAGAGAAGCTTAAAGTAAAGGGAAGGTGAAGGATCTAAAGCCAGAGAATTTAACCATAGTTAAGTCTTAGCAGGGAGTACGTGGATTTTCGACTGCGTGGGGATCAGCACCCCTTAGGGCCCGTACTGTTCAAAGGTCAACTATAAATTATTTGAAGTTTCTATAAAATAAAAAGATACTAAAAATGTGAGGATCTTATTTCTTCCAAATTCAGTGATTTAGCATCTTAATGTTTTACTGAATAAAATTATATAAATTTCATTTAGGTAAAAAATTGAAAATTAAAAACTATAAATTATTACAAAATACAATGCAGTTATTTGTTATATAAAATACCGTAATATCCATATTGTTTATGACGTATTCTTAAGCCCAGAGAATGCAAAGTGTTATTTTAAGGGGAACATTATAATTTAGAAGATAGTCCTCTGTGGTTTTATTTAAAGTATTTTGCATATTTAATTACAGTATATATATAGACCACACAACAACTTTATAAATCTAGATTACCCATTTATTAGGATTTTATTTACTTACTGCTTCTGAAGACAACCAAATGTGATTTTCACTTTTAATAACAACAGAAACATTGCCACACCTAAGGGTTGATTGCACTTTGAAAGCTTTTAAACATTTCATCTTTGGTATTAGAAACAGTGGTTTAAGCAGTCTTGAGACCTATATGATTTGTTTGTCATATTTTCATTATTAATGAAGTGTAGTTATAAGTAGTTAAAACCCTTTGATCTACAGTGCCGTATCATTTAAAAGCTCATTTCTACCAGTGTGGCCCAACAGTTACGTTTATGAAAACTGCACTTTTCACGTCTTATGAAAGAAAGCTTTGGAATATTAAGAAAGATATTGTGTAGTTGAATTCTCTCCTTAAATTGTGGGACCAGGTTAACAATTGTATTTGCCATTTGTTTTTAACTTTAAGATAATCCCAAGTCATTTATAATTCAGAATTTTGAATACATTTACCCTTGGTCTTTAACTTAATTTTCATAATTGAGACATTGTATTTCAGAAGAAATTATATGTTGTCTTTGGAAAAGTAATGAGGATGTCAGTGATGAGAAACTTTAACTTAATGTATTAAATGTTTATGGCATTTCTCAAGCAGGTATTGTGGTAAGTGATTGGAAAAAAAGTGCTTATCATTTCAGGTTTTGAGATCACCATTGAACACCCACACACAGATGTGGTGAAATGTACCCAGTTAGTAAGAGGTAGGTGATCCTTGAAACTTTTCAGATAAGTATTAATGCTTTTTATTATCTATAATTGATTTGGATGCTATTTTGTTCTTCTAGCCTTTTGTTGAGTTTCATTAAAATTAGTGGGAAATGTCATTTTTTAAGCATTATTTTTTAGTGTTCTACATCTTCACTTATTCATCTACTTCTATTTGTGATTCTGCCTGGTATGTTAGCTTCCTTTAAGGATAGGTAAGAATCTCATTTCACCAAACTTTGGAGGGCTTCCAAGTGTTAGGCTCTTATGTATCCCTCATTGAGCTTTGCTAGTTCCAATTTCAGTCTGGTGTGGGCCAATAGTGCATAGGTGCAGAAAATATATTAATTTGGGTTTGTGTCAAACTTTGACTTTTTGAAAAGTGGTAACAGTTGAATAATTTTGAGGCCAATCTCAGACCTTTCAGATAAAAATTGCCTGTGTTAAAAGATTTGTTGACTGGATACAGTGGCTCACACCTATAATCCCAGCACTTTGGGGAGGCCGAGGCAGGACGATTGCTTGAGCTCAGGAGTTGGAGACCATCCTGGGCAACATGTGAAACCTCATCTCTACAAAAAACGCAAAAATTAGCTAGTTGTGGTGGCACGTGCCTGTAGTCTCAACTGCTCAGGAGGCCAAGGTGGGAAGATGGCTTGAGCCCAGGGGGCACAGGTTGCAGTGAGCCCAGGTCATGCTCCTGCACTCCAGCTTCGGCAACTGAGTGAAACCCCTTCTCAAAAAAAAAAAAAAGGTCGGCTGGGCACAGTGGCTCAAGCCTGTAATCCCAGCACGTTGGGAGGCCGAAGCGGGTGGATCACAAGGTCAAGAGATCGAGACCATCCTGGTCAACATGGTGAAACCCCGTCTCTACTAAAAATACAAAAAATTAGCTGGGCATGGTGGTGCGTGCCTGTAATCCCAGCTTCTCAGGAGGCTGAGGCAGGAGAATTGCCTGAACCCAGGAGGCAGAGGTTGCGGTGAGCCAAGATCGTGCCATTGCACTCCAGCCTGGGTAACGAGCGAAACTCTGTCTCAAAAAAAGGGGGGGGGGTCATTTTTTGGGGAAGTGTTTTGCCCATGATCATTTGGGCAAACTAAAATTGGTTTAATATATTTTTCAAGGGTTTTTGACGTTACTAAAAGTGGTTTCCTTTTTGTGTATAATGGAGAAATAATTATAAAGCATAATACATATAGTTTGTGATATGCCTGTTAAGCCTTTTATAACAAGAGTACTTGTTAAAATTCTTGCTATCATGCTTGTGAAGTATCTGGTAATACCTGATTTCTCTACTCCTAAATGAATCCTGTGTATCTGTTATATCCCTAAAAACATTTTTTAAACAGCTGTATGTTCTACTTCTATTTTCCTCTTTCCATTTCAAGTGTTAATGTATTCATAGCAACCACTTTGGACCTGTAGTGTGCCATTTTCTGTTACTTCCTTTTTGAAAATAGAATTTTGCAATTTGATTCATTTTCTACCAAGCTTTTTTGTCCTAATCAAAATGAGTAAGACTTTTGAAAGTCTTTTTAGTATTTACCCTAAGTAGTTTCACATTTTACTCATTATAAATTGAATTCATTTTATACCTAGTGATTTTTTATGTTAGTGGCTACATTTTTTTAAAAACTGATAGTGTCGTTAAGAACTAGATGTCTGAAAATCCAATTTGTATTTTTTAGAGTAGCATACATTATCATTTGTAAGCTAGAGTGTATTTAACTGTGGTTCCTGTTCTTCATAGTTATATGAATGTGTTTTATAGCACATTTTCATTTCAATACTACATTATAGCATAGAATTATATACATAACTAGCTACAGATGTTGAATTCAGAAAAAAAGATGCCAGGTATGGTGGCTCATGCCTATAATCCCAGCACTTTGGGAGGCTGAGGCGGGTGGATCACCTGAGGTCAGGAGTTGGAGACCGTCCTGGCCAACATGGTGAAACCCCATCTCTACTAAAAATACAAAAATTAGCCAGGCGTGCTGGTGGGCGCCTGTAATCTCAGCTACTCAGGAGGCTGAGGCAGGAGAATTGCTTGAACCCAGGAGGCGGAGGTTGAAGTGAGTGGAGATCACGCCACTGCACGCCAGCCTAGATGACAGAGCAAGACTCTGTCTCAAAAAAAAAAGTTGAAAAGGGTAAGCTAAACTTTGTTAGTATTATAGCCATATAATTTTCTTAATTGAGAGTCTATTAAACATTAGTTTGAAGGAAGTACTAGTATATGCTTAAAAATATTACTTACGAAATTGGATTTTGAAATTGGAAATTCAAATTTCATCTGCTGTGAAATTTGAGTCAGTTTTAAATTGCTTAACAGATTTTCTGTTTTTTTTTTTTTTTTGTTAGGGAGTCTTGCACTGTCAGCTGGGCTGCAGTGCAATGCAGTGGCGTGATCTCAGCTCACTGCAACCTTCGCCTCCTGAGTTCATGCAAATTCTCCTGCCTCAGCCTCTCGAGTAGTTGGGATTACAGGTGTACACAACCACACCTGGCTAATTTTTGTGTTTTTAGTAGAGATGGGGTTTCACTATGTTGGCCAGACTGGTCAAAAACTCCTGACCTCGTGATCCACCTGCCTCAGCCTCCAAAAGTGCTGGGATTACAGGTGTCGGCCACCGCGGCCAGCCCAGAGGTTAATATTTTTTGTCCATGTTCTCTTACAAATAAAATTTCTAGAGACATGAAGTCAGTTTGCTTGAGAAATGAAATAGTGACTTTTCAAACATTTACAAAAACTATGAATTTGATAAATCATCCAAAACAAAATATTTAGACCAGATTTTTTGTTGTTGTTAATGTTAAAATGTGACTGATTCTTAAATTTGAGTACAAAGCACATATATGTTTAATGTCACTTTGTCTGACTAACATTTCAGGTAACTATAGAATATATCTCCATTTTAAAAGTATTCTTTCATGTGTGGTGTCTCTTTTTTCTTTGCTCTTTTACACCTTTCAGCTAACAAAGCATTTCCCCTCTATTCTTCTCTGTTGCACAGTGACTGTTTCTAGATCACTGAATTTAGATACATTCCTAGGTGAAAACTGCTAATGGCATTTTTAAATTATTATTTTTTTCTTCTCTATGTATTTTTATTCCAGAGGGGGAGGGGAAAATAAATTTGGTTTCTGTAGTCTTTTTCCCCCCTCTGGAGATGAGAAAGTTGATAATATGCTACTTTGCTGCAGAATTGGCTAATGTCATTTTACAGGGACCTTCACTTCTGTGATTTCTCCTTCCCTCCCCACCAGGAAAGTCACACTGCCTCCAAGACATCTGATGCTTTGACACTCTTCCTTAGCACAACTCTGCTAAACCCAAATCCCTTTTGTAAAACCTTTATGTTGATGATCCACATGGGGCAGCAGGGATTACAGGTGCCATGAATAAAAAATAGGGGATGGGGAAAAAACTTGAGGACTGTTAGAGGGGTGGAGTTGAGATAAACTGATTCTAGGTGAGAAGAGGGGAAAGGTGTGTCGGTGGTTGTGAATGTAATTGGGAAAAAGGGAAACTGTGAAAAGGACATCCCTGTTGGGAAGACTAAGAGGCAGAATAAGGGGAGGGAAAACTCTTCGGTGTCCTAAGCTAATTAAAAATTGCTTTTCTGTTGGGGACCAGTGTTGAAGTGTTCTGATCCTCCCTAGAATACCTGTATCTTTTCTAAGTTTGTCTTTAATTAGATTCTATAATTTGAAATAAAATATAGTGGAGCCTCCTGTATACGCATATGCTGTTTCTAGGTTTATTCTCTGTTGATGCTTAATAGCATGATGAAAAACTGAGCCATTTGTGCTCTGTGTTTTGTGGGGTGGGGGTTTGTTTTATTTTGTTTTGATGGAAGTATTTAAGCCAATTTAAATATGAGGATTAAGTCTGGCAGGCAAACTCTTTGTATTTTGTATTAGACTTCAAAATCTTTTCTTCTTCTTCTTCTTTTTTTTTAAATCCAGGAGAATGCTTTATTGCAACTTTTAGCTGACTAGATGCTTAACTTAGTAACAAGTTTAGCCCTTGTAACTGGCTAGCTAAAAGCAAATCGGCTTGTTTCTCAGATCTTTGGGGGATAGCAAGAAACATTTGAGTGAATGTTGTTGAAGATTTTCAGTAGTATAGAAAATGATGGCGCTCTTGTGATATTTGTAAGTAGTAAGTAAAATTTACTTTTTGTGTACAAATCTTTGAAGTTTTTGTTGTGTTGAGAACTTTTTGATGGTGGCACGTTAAAGCTGATAGTATTGTCTTCGTTTTTTTTTCTTTTCTTACAGCAAGCAAGGATTTGGCACAGACATCCTATTTCATGGCTACCAACAGGTTGTTATCCTGACCCTCTTTGTTGCACTGTTGTAGCACACTATAGCTTCCTTTAATGCAGGGCCCCCTCAATGTGTCTCTTACCCTTGTTGCAACAGGAGACTGGACCATCTACTGTGGTGGTACCTTCCTGTTTGCTTTGCGGTGTATTGTACAAGGGACTTTGGGCACAGAGGGGTTAAATGCACAATGTGAAGTGTAGTGGTGCTTTCTGATGACATATTCTCGATTTGTGAGTGCATAAGTCTAAAATTGGTAGCCTGAATAGCAGCTAAAGATTACAAAGAGCTAAACTTAACGTAGAAATTCGAGCAACTTGGTAAGTATAAAGCTATTTCTAGTTTACAATTATAGTTAAATGACAGTTTTTAAAATTTCACATTGATCCAGTCTTAACTTTAAAATACTCATTAAAGTCTTTTTAATAAATAAAACTTATGTAATTTGAAATTTTTTTCCAGATAATACCCACTAGTAGCAAATTAAAAGTAGTCAAGTCCTATCCATGCCTGGATTTGCATAAACACATTTTTTTCTTTTTTGACAAAAACAACAACAAAAAAAAAAACCTTCCTTTTCAGTTTACATAGAGTAAAAAATGGTATATGTTTATGGCTGCTCAGATAACATTTCCATCATTGAAACTGAACTGGAAGAATAGTTTTAAGGAGGCTTTAACATACAGTTCTGTTCTAGATTTATTGTATTAATGATTTAAATTTGTTTTTTGTTTTTTTGTTTTGTGTGTGTGTGTGTGTGTGTGTGTGTTTTGTTTTTGGTTTTGTTTTTTTGAGTGGGTCATTGGGGAGAAGGGACCAAACCACCTTGTATGGTCCCTAATTTCTTGTGACACTAAGTTTAATTTACAATTTGAGATTGGCAAATATTGCTATATTTTCTCAAATATATGTTGTTGGGATTTAATCTCTATCCCCAGTAATTCTGAACAACAACATAAAAAGACCTAAATTTAAAACTTTGATTAGAAAAGGCTAGCTGTGACACATATTACATGCCCCATATTTGGTGTATGGTGGAAGGAGAAAGGTAGTATTTTTGCATATTTAATAACATTGGGCCTTGAAGCTGTTTGGCAAAAGGTAAGTTTTCTTTGTGGCTTTGCTAAAAAACAAGGCATAGGTTTACACAGATATATGTTTAATTCTCTCTGCTTCACTAGAGAAAGCAAATGCCTATTAAGCCACATCATATGGGATAATCCCTGATTGTTGTGATATTGAAATCACTTTGTCAATTTTAGAAACAGTCTTTTTTTTTTACATTTACATATTTACCATGACATTACAAAAGAAAAATACCACAAACAATTTATAATTTTATACTTCTGTATAGTAGTGATTATTGCAAACATACTGTCCTCCTCTCCTTTTATAAAATACTTCAATTCTAGGTGTAAAAACAAAACTGTAAATAGTAATAGGAGTATTAAAATACTCGGGAGTAAGTGAGGGGGAATGTTCGTTATATGTAGACTTTTTAGTACTAGAGTTTTATAACTTAGCTTTTAATGTAATAAAATAAGGTTTTATACTCTAGACTTAAAGAAAAATCAAATTTAAATTTGGCTCTAATCTTACTGGTAAATGTTTTTCTTTGTTTTACATACTTGAATTTGTATGGTTCTCCATTTTCAAACCTGCTCTGCAACAGTCTGCATCTTACAACCTTCTGTCTTCAGTACAAACCAACAGTGATAGCATGTGTATGCATTCATTTGGCTTGCAAATGGTCCAATTGGGAGATTCCTGTGTCAACTGATGGAAAGCATTGGTGGGAATATGTGGATCCTACAGTGACTCTGGAATTATTAGATGGTAAGTAGAGAAAATAATTTTTTTTTTTTTCTGATCAGTACACTTGATAGAAAATAAAGTCTTTATGGAAAAGTTTTGTCTACCTCTGTATAGGTTTGAAAAATTATTTTCCATACGTTCATTGCCCAACTAAATCAACAGTTATCATTTCTGGCCAATTCATCGCACACATGTACACACCATGGTTATAGTGGTGCTATGATGCTAATTCCAGATATCATGGCATCTCTTGAGATAGAGTCCGTTGTCCAGGCTGGGTTGCAGTGGTACCGTCTTGGCTCACTGCAGTTTCCGCCTCCTGGGTTCAAGCAATTCTCCTGTCCCAGCCTCCTGAATAGCTGGGATTACAGGCATGTGCCACCACACCCAGCTAATTTTGTATTTTTAGTAGAGGTGTGGTTTCACTATATTATTGATCAGGCTGGTCTCACTTCTGACCTCGAGATTGACCTGCCTCGGCATCCCAAAGTGCTGGGATTAAAGGCGTGAGCCACTGCACCCAGCCTGACATCTCTTTATATTTAGTTTGTATTTCAAAAGGTAATGTCTCTAAAAACATAAGAATAATTACATTTTTTTTTTAATTTTTAAGAATAATTACATTTTAACAATTTGGAAATCTAAGTTGGCAGTTGTCAGAATTGACAAGAGAAGGTGCGAATACACTGTCAAATGAACAGGATGAAAATAAGAATTCATCAGCCTAAAGAAAAAAAAAATTGATTTTGGAATTTGTGCTCGTACCCGTAATCCCAGCACTGTGGGAGGCTGAGGCAGGAGGATCACTTGGGCCCAGGAGTACAAGACCAGGCTGGGCAACATAGACCCAGTCTCTACCAAAAAAAAATAATAATGTTTTAAACGGACTGGGTGTGGTGGTGCTCGCCTGTAGTCTCTGCTACTCGGTAGGCTGAGACAGAATGATAGCTTGAGTCGAGGAGGTCAAGGCTGTGATAAGCCTTGAAGGCAGTGCTCCGCTATAGCCTGGATATATATTAACCACCACTGGACATCTAAAGCTTTTTCAGGACTTAAAATAAATAAGGTTTAGAATTCCATAAGCTAACAAGAATAGCAGTTTAATGTATAGTAATTCTGTTGAGTTTTAAATGTGTAGACTGAAAATTGAGTGTTAACTGTGAAGCAGTAAACTAAAGGGATTTTGGGGGGATTGTGTTTCTTTCTCTGTATTACCATTGTTGCCTACATTGTTAAACGTGAATACACAAGGAAAAATTGTACGTATGTGTTCTGTTAAATATGAACATAGAATTTTGGGGATGTTTTGATGAGAAATTCCTCTGGTTGAAAAGTAAAAGAAGCTGGCCAGAGATGGGAGATTCTTGGGATTAGGGCATTTTAACTATGTACTGTAGATTTCAGAAAGAAAACAGGTAACACTTCTTTTTTTTTTTTTTAAACTCTGGGTGGGTGGGTGGTTGTGTGTGCTTGAGACAGTCTCACTCTGTTGCCAAGGCTCAGGCTGGAGTGCAGTGGTGCAATCTGGGCTCACTTCAACCTCTTCCTCCTGGGTTCAAGCAATTCTTGTGCCTCACCCTCCCGAGGAACTGAGACCACAGGCGTGTACGACCACGCTCAGCTTATTTTTGTATTTTTAGTAAACAGAGTTTCACAGTCCACCTGCCTTAGCCTCCCAAAGTGCTGGGATTTCAGGTTTTAGCCTCCATGCCCACTTGATGTTTCTTTAACATAGGGGTCTGCAAAGAGTAACACTATTTTAGAGTTTGTAGGCTGTAAGGTCTCTGTTGCAGCTGCACAACTATACCATTGCAGCTGGAAAGCAGCCATAGGCAATTTGTAAATGAATGGGTATGGCTGTGTTACAGTAAAACTTTGTTGACAAAAATAGGTGACCAACCATATTTGGCCAGTTATTCATGGTTTGCCTATTCTTATTTGTGAAATCCTTCTTTGTTACACCCCTTTATTTTCTGTTTTGTTCTCCACCTGGAAAAAAATATCCCAGAATATACTTCTCATGCTGTATTGCCAAATGATTATAATTTTTTTTTAATCATTTGAGGCTTTTCCAGAATTTATCCAGAGAGAAGGAAATCTTCAGTGAGTTGAAATGACATCTAAAACTCAATGGTGCTTCTTTTTAATTGTTTGTATCTGTTCTGCAGCTTGAAAATCAGGTTATCTAGGTCATTGTTGTAGCTTAATAGTCACCAGACTAAGATTAGGTAGGCATAATCTTTGTTTTTTGTTTTTTGTATTTTTTTGAGACTGAGTCTTGCTCTGTTGCCCAGGCTGGAGTGCAATAATGCAATCTCAGCTCACTGCAACCTCTGTCTCCCGAGTTCAAGCAATTCTCTGTCTTGGCCTCCTGAATAGCTGGCAGTGCAGGTGCCTGCCACCATGCCTAGCTAATTTTTGTATTTTTAGTAGAGGCGGGGTTTCACCATCTTGGTCAGACTAGTTTTGAACTCCTGACCTTGTGATCCACCTGATTCGGCCTCCCAAAGTGCTGGGATTATAGGAATGAGTTATTGCGCCCGGCCGGTAGGCATAATCTTAATAAAAATAGTTTTTATTAAAAAAATAAAAACTTTTTTTGTTATTATTTCTAATTAAAAATTTCGTTAAAAATAGCTTAGTATTATACTTTAGCACCTAGTGCTAAAGTAAAAAGATTACAAAAAAGTAATCTGCCTTTTATCCTGTCTTTAGGTCAGAGGTTAGGTTGTGGTTTATATAGGGTTTTTTGACACAGCAGGATCTACCTCACTTCCATTCTAAAAAACCTAAAGTTTATTATTAATTTAGAGAGCAGTTGAATAGGAATCTTGGAGACCTGATATATTAAAACTTTCAGCATGTTTTGCAGCAGCTTTTTATTTTTTTAAAGAGACAGAGTCTTGCTCTGTTGCCCAGGCTGGAGTACAGCGGTACAATCTCAGCTCATTGCAACCTCTGCCTCCTGGGTTCAAGCAGTTCTCTGCCTCAGCCTGCCAAATAGCTGGGATTACAGGTGTTTGCCACCACACCTGGATAATTTTTGTATTGACATAGGGTTTCACCATGTTAGCCAGGCTAGTCTTGAATTCCTGACCTTGTGATCCACCTCGGCCTCCCAAAGTGCTTGGGATTGTAGGCGTAAGCCACCGCGTCTTTTTTTCTGTGTAGATCACAAAAAGGTAGCTCGAAATTTAAGACATGAAGATGTGGCCGGGTGTAGTCACGCCTCTTGAACACAGGAGTTTGAGCCCAGCCTGAGCAACATGGCAAAACCTTGTTTTTACTAAATATACAAACACACACACACACATACACACACCGGGTGTGGTGGTACACTCGTATAGACCCAGCTACTGTGGAGGCTGAGGTGGGAGGATCACCTGAGACTGTGATAATGCCACTGCACTGTAGCCTGGGCAACAGAGGAAACCCTGTCTTAAAAAAAAAGACATGAAGATTTATCTGAATTGTAGAGTGATGTCTAAAGTGATATTAGTATTCTTATTTACTAAAATAATTCACTTAATAACTATGTTCCACAAAAGAAGAACATTGGCTTAGACAGTAGCTCTGAGAAAGAAGGGCCTCTATTTTAGGCACATACCATGATATTTGTGCATATAGCTAATTAATTATGTTAATGGATTATTGAACAGATTATTTTGTTCTGCTATAAAATTTAATACATAGGATACTTAAGAAAAACAAAACTTTCATTTTGTGTACCGGATTTTGGACCAGGAACTTTTAAGTGCATTTAATGTTTTACAACCAAGCTGTTACAGAAATTGAGTCAGAACAGTTTTGTTACTGTTTGACCCAAAAGTAGAAAAGTAGTCTTTTTTTTTTTTTTCAAATGAGGAAGTAGGGGTCTGGGCAAATTGGATGAAAAAGCTCATGAGACTTTAGCAGGGAATAGTCATGACATTGTCAAGGAAATTACATCTTGAAAGATTAATTATAGTTTGTCTGATCTTGGCATTGGCTTTGAATAGTGTACAAAGAAACTTGCTATTAAAAAATGAATCTGCTGAGTGCAGTGGCTCACGCCTTTAATCCCAGGACTTTGGGAGGCTGAGGCGGGTAGATCACAAGGTCAGGAGTTCAAGACCAGCCTGGCCAACATGGTGAAACCCCGTTTCTACTAAAAATATGAAAAATTAGCTGGGCATGGTGGCAGGCACCTGTAATCCCAGCTACTCCGGATGCTGAGGCAGAAGAATTGCTTGAGCTCAGGAGGCAGAGGTTGCAATGAGCCGAAATCGTGCCATTGCACTATCAATACCAGAACAAACATAAATGATAAAAAGTGAATCTGTAGTCTTTACTGATAGATATTCCCCCAGTATTGAGATTGAATTGGCATTATATAGTATTCTAATTTATTTGACTGATGAATATTTGAGTGGCCAGTAACAATGACAGTATTTTGGGGGATAAAACTATAATTCATCAAAACCACACTACTTTGGAAAGGTAGGTTATTTCATTGTGATCAAAATTTTAAGAAAATTGATAGAAAATTACAATCAAGATAGTTTGCTAATGTATTAGTAGTGTTATTGCTAGGAAGTATAAGTATAGTTGAAGAAATTTTCCTTTTTTTATTAAAAAGAAAAAAAAGCCTAGGCAAGAAAAAAATCTCACCTGTAATTCCAGCACTTTGGGAGGCCGAGATAGGAGGATCACTTGAGGCCAGGAGTTTGAGACCAGCCTGGTCAACATAGTGAGACCCCATCTATATTATTTAACAAAAAAAAATAGAATATAGTACAGAGTTGCCTATATACCCTTTAGCTTCGCCTTGTACTAACATCTTACATAACAATATATGATTATCAAAACTAGGAAATTAGCATTGGTACAATACTATAAGCTAAACCACAGATTTTATTTGGTATTCTGTATTTGTCCCTGTTCTAGGATTCCATGTTCCATTTAGTTGACATGTCTCTTTAAGTCTCCTCCAGTCTGTGACAGTTCTTGATCTTGAACTCCTGACCTCAGGTGATCCACCCACCTCAGCCTCCCAAAGTGCTAGGATTACAGGCATGAGCCACCACGCCCAGCTCAGTCTGTGACAGTTCTTCATTATTTCCTTGTCTTTTATAACATTGACACTTAGAAAAATAGTGGTTATTTTAATACAGTGTTCCTTAGTTGGGGTCCAATGATTTCTTATTATTAGATTGAAGTTACACATTTTGAGCAAGAATACCATAGAACTAGGTTGGGTCTTGCTTGGTGCATCATATCAAGGGGCACAATATGTTGATAGGTCTTGTAACTGGTAATGACAACCATGATCACTTGGTTACAATGGTATCCTTAAGGTGGTTTCTGTACTTTAAAGTTAACTATTTTTTTTCTTTATGTAATTAATACATTTCTTGGGGAAGATATGTTGGGATTATACAAATAACTTTTTCCTCAAACTTTTGTTCACTAATTTTAAAGAATCCATTGATCTTGCCTGCAACAAAAATTACTATGTTGTTTGCTTAATAAAGATTTTTTTATTGGAGGGAGAAATTATTTTTAATGCTATTAGATTTTCTAGAAATTCTAATTAAGCAAGTAAAATCATGGGGGAAGGTAATTGTTACAACGGATTCAGCTTTGAAAACGCTGGTTGAGGGTTGTATGTACTTCTGTATATGCTGAGGGTTGAATAGGAGGGTAAAAGTGAAATAGATGAACTCCTAGCATTCCTTTTTAATACTGCCCACTTAAAGAGAAATTTATATCCTAAAGACATCTTCTAAGTTTTAAATTTAAATTTTCTTTTTAGAGCTAACACATGAGTTTCTACAAATATTGGAGAAAACGCCTAGTAGGTTGAAGAAGATTCGAAACTGGAGGGTAAGAGGATTGACAGGCAGAATGTCAGTCTGTCATTTATACAACATGTACATAGCTAAACATTTTGAATTGTTGTGATTAATCTTTACAGTATTGCTGAATAATTCAACGTATCTCAAGTTACATATATTCACATATTCAACTACAGAGTCCAGTGGACTTTGCTAAAAATATGTTATATTTTTAAAAACCTTTTTGCAGTGATTATGACGGAAATATCCTCTTAATTTTACAAATGGGTTAGCTGAAGCCTAGACAAGTTAAATTACTTTCTCAAGTGCTAGGCTAGGATTTGACTTGAATCTAATTCTAAAGGTGGTGTTTTCAATTTTTTATAGTCTCCTTCTCTATCTCTAAATAAGGCATTTATTTACTGGTAACATAAAACCGGCCGGGCACGGTGGCTCAAGCCAGTAATCCCAGCACTTTGGGAGGCCAAGGTGGGTGGATCATGAGGTCAAGAGATCAAGACCATTCTGGTCAACATGGTGAAACCCCATCTCTACTAAAAATACAAAAAATTAGCTGGGCATGGTGGCGCGTGCCTGTAATCCCAGCTACTCAGGAGGGGGAGGCAGGAGAATTGCTTGAACCCAGGAGGCAGAGGTTGCGGTGAGCCGAGATTGCACCATTGCACTTTAGCCTGGGTAACAAGAGCGAAACTCCGTCTCAAAAAAAAAAAAAAAAACCATGAACCCCAGGTCATTTTATTTCCATATGTTAAATATATAATGTTTTTAGTATATAACTTTTATAAGACAAGCAATTTGCATTAAGTTATTTTGCTATTAACCCTGCTTCTTCTATGTTTTATTTTAATAGGCTTGTCAGGCAGCGGCTAAGAAACCAAAAGTAGATGGACAGGTATCAGAGACACCACTTCTTGGTTCATCTTTGGTCCAGAATTCCATTTTAGTAGATAGTGTCACTGGTGTGCCTACAAACCCAAGTTTTCAGAAACCATCTACATCAGCATTCCCTGCTCCAGTACCTCTAAATTCAGGAAATATTTCTGTTCAAGACAGCCATACATCTGATAATTTGTCATTGCTAGCAACAGGAATGCCAAGTACTTCATACAGTTTGTCATCACACCAGGAATGGCCTCAACATCAAGACTCAGCAAGGACAGAACAGATGTATTCACAGAAACAGGAGACATCTTTGTCTGGCAGCCAGTACATCAACTTCCAGCAGGGACCTTCTGTATCACTGCATTCAGGATTACATCACAGACCTGACAAAATTTCAGATCATTCTTCTAAGCAAGAATATACTCATAAAGCAGGGAGTAGTAAACACCATGGGCCAATTTCTGCTACTCCAGGAATAATTCCTCAGAAAATGTCTTTAGATAAATATAGAGAAAAGCGTAAACTAGAAACTCTTGATCTTGATGTAAGGGATCATTATATAGCTGCCCAGGTAGAACAGCAGCACAAACAAGGGCAGTCACAGGCAGCCAGCAGCAGTTCTGTAACTTCTCCCATTAAAATGAAAATACCCATCGCAAATACTGAAAAATACATGGCAGATAAAAAGGAAAAGAGTGGATCACTGAAATTACGGATTCCAATACCACCCACTGATAAAAGCACCAGTAAAGAAGAACTAAAAATGAAAATAAAAGTTTCCTCTTCAGAAAGACACAGCTCTTCCGATGAAGGCAGTGGGAAGAGCAAGCATTCAAGCCCACATATTAGCAGAGACTATAAGGAGAAGCACAAGGAGCATCCGTCAAACCGCCACCATACCGGCAGTCACAAGCATTCCCACTCACATAGTGGCAGCAGCAGCGGTGGCAGTAAACACAGTGCCGATGGAATACCACCCACTGTTCTGAGGAGTCCTGTTGGCCTGAGCAGTGATGGCATTTCCTCTAGCTCCAGCTCTTCCAGGAAGAGGCTGCATGTCAATGATGCATCTCACAACCACCACTCCAAAATGAGCAAAAGTTCCAAAAGTTCAGGTAGTTCATCTAGTTCTTCCTCCTCTGTTAAGCAGTATATATCCTCTCACAACTCTGTTTTTAACCATCCCTTACCCCCTCCTCCCCCTGTCACATACCAGGTGGGCTACGGACATCTCAGCACCCTCGTGAAACTGGACAAGAAGCCAGTGGAGACCAACGGTCCTGATGCCAATCACGAGTACAGTACAAGCAGCCAGCATATGGACTACAAAGACACATTCGACATGCTGGACTCACTGTTAAGTGCCCAAGGAATGAACATGTAATAATTTGTTTAGGTCAATTTTTCCTTTACTTTTTTAGTTTAAAAATTATTAGAATGGAAAAATTCCTCCTGATCTAGCAGTGGCAACACCTGTCGTTGCTGCCACTGCTTCAATATTTGTAAGTGCTGCTTTATTCTTCATTCTGAAAAGAAGAGATTATAGTAAACAAGTCTTTATCTCCACATATGATAGTGTTATAAATACTGTAAAAGCATGGAAGGTGCAAAACTCAGTATTTCTACAATTGCAGCTAAGAACATTAGGATGAATGGCTGGCTGCTTCTAGGAATATAAGATGCCTCAAGCATTCGTTATTTATAATTTGAATATTGTAGCTATTTTTGTTGCTTGGCTTTTGAATGAGTGTAAATTGTTTTTTGTGTATTTATACTTGTATGTATGATTTGCATGTTTCAATGATAAAGGGATAAAACAGTATACTGACAACTGTTTACAAGAAAGTGGAGAAAAATGTACATACATTTTTGTATGTTTAGATATTACCATAAATACTCAGGATTGGAGCTGCTTGTAAGTATAACAATATACAGAATAACTTTATTTTATCTTGTCAGAGTCCATCACTAATCAAAAACAAAGGTGGCACTTTTTTATGTTAACCTTAAACTCTAGGCCTTACTGGAAGCCACTGATAGGGGACACTTCACTACCAGATGTGTATGCAGTGCCACAGATGGTCATTTATACTGTGAGGCACTGAAATTTTGCCTTCAGAGGTTCTGACCAGATTGGCTGCTAAAATAGCCCCTAACTTTCTGAAGGCTTGAAGAGGAAAAAATAAAGTTTACATACTCTTGATGTGAAGTGCATTTAAATGTTTGTTGGCTTGTTGCAGTTCTATGAAACAGAGCTGTTAATAATGGTTATGTGGATTACTGTGATTTGAAAACTAAATTCACAATAACTTAACCTAGTAGAGATACAGTGAGTTGTTTCCTTTAAAGAATTTTACACTACATATTTTAACACTAAACAGGGATCACTTTTCCTTTAGCATTCAGAATGACACTATATTCTTAAATATACCCCTTCCCTGAAGTGTGTTTGTGTGTGATGCCATATTTCTTTTTCAGGTAAATGTAGTCTTCCTTATAAAAACAAATTAAACCTATTCTCTCTCAATTCTTTTATATTCTAACAATAAATAAAAAAGAAAAGATCACTGACTGTGCATTATACCTGTATTTATATTTTATGGTTATCAGGAAGCTCTGTAAGAAAGAAAAGGTCAGCCTCCCAGGCAAACCACTAGTGGAGGTTTTACATTTGTTTGCACATCTCGGTATATTTCTGTTGAGGTAAAGTTTGCACAGTCATCTGACTTCTGATCAAACGTTAGATTTTAAAACTTGTTTAGATTTTGTCTTAAACACCAGTAATATGGCTCTTGTTTGTCAGCTAATCTTGAATTTATTCTGTGGTAAATCTTTGAGTTGTTGAGTACATTTGAGATGGGTTGGATTCAACCTCTGTTGAACTGAAAACTTAATTTCTTCTCTGTATGAATTATTTTTGTTACAAAGCCACTAATATGTGCACAATTGTAATTTTACTCAAGTGTGTTGTAGTTGTAAATATTAGAGTTTAATCTTGTGCTCTACCTTTATTTAGCAGTTACCTAATTTGCCAGTAGCTTTATAATTTTTAAAGATAATTGTCCATTATTTTGTCAATGTTATTTGAACTTGAGGTACTTAGGAGCCTCTTTGTGTAGGGACTGTGCCTAGGTAGCATGTCCTAACATTTGTTTTTGTCTTGCATAACTTTGGTAATCTTTGTCATTATATGTAACTTTGTTGCTCTGTATGGCAAAATATTGTATCCATAAACATGGTAATTTTGATACAGTTATACTTTTACAGTGGTACATAATCCAAGGACTAGTATAGAATTAAGCCGAGTGCAAGATGAGGGAGGGAAGGGTTTTCTTGGTAATTTAGACGTGAAACCTCTACAGAGCTATCATGTAAAAACTACATAAGGTGGTTGTGCTACTGTATAATTGGGGGTGATACTACCAGGAATTTTAATAAGATTTTGTAAAGACTATCCAGAAAAGTAGTGAACTTATTTTCAGTAGACATAGAAAACAATGTGAATATTTAAGGTCTGTGACTATAGTTAAACACTAAGAATTTGCAGAATTGTTTTGAGATGTGGGAATAAAGGTAATTTTGTTTGAATCTTCATTGGTGCTAATGATGGACAGTTAAACAGATAGCTAGTGTATATTGTTATGGGTCAGTACTTATTAGTACTTCCAAAATTGAATATGAAATGCTATGTATTCACTTTTCACTCTGTAAATGTAATAATTCTTTACAATGACTTTATTTATTAAAGGGCAGCCAATTGTCATTTTTACAGGATTGTGTGAGCTATTCAAACTCTTTAACCCCTGAACAGGATATTAAGCTTCCAAAATAATGATGGAGATAAATATGGAAATCCGTTTTAAGTTTCATTTCCATTAAACAAAAACTTATAATTCATACTATCATGGATTTGCTTTATCCATCTTATTTGCATAACAGTTCATCTGCCTGGTCCCATTAGGCTCTACCAAAGAAAAAGACTCTGATGAATGGACATTATTACTGTGAGTCTTCTTATAAGTGGCCATAAATAAACCAAAATAGTATCATCAAATTTAGGTATGAAATTCCACATGTGCAAAGTACTGTTAAGGTGATAACATTTTTGATGAGATTTTAAAAAAAAATATTTGAAATATTAAAAAGCATTATCTTTAAACATCCTATAAAAGAGTGAGTCATTTTTAAGTTGTGTTTTCCCTAGAACACAGATTTGTTACTTTTACACAAAAGCACATTGCAAAGGCTTTACTTCTACCTCTTCCAGCTAGTTTTCCAGTATTGAGCTGTGCCCCCCTAAATATTTGCCTTAGCTATTTTAAAATATGGTATTTTCAGACCAAAGCAAAGGGGTGTTTGTTCACTGAAACATTCTTAGAGGCCTACTTAACGAAACGGGCAGTAGCATCCTTTAGTGGTGAAACCTCAGTTTCTTAGTTGCAGGTATGTAAATACCAAAAAAAGTCCTGTTGTCAACCCTGGGGTTCTCTTTGAACACAGTTACAATGTGCACCTTGGTCTTCCTCTATGTGTGCTGATTCGTCCTGGTTGAAGTTCTTATTCAGAGTCACCTAAAGGAAATTTCTAACATAATGTATGGTTTCTTGAATGAGTGGCTGCTTATATTACTTTGTAGCAACAGATTGTATTACGTAGAATACCTAACTTTTTTGGCCTATCCTCTGAACTAGAAAAGACTAATTGAGGTCTGTTTCTAAGAACCAATATGAAATGTTTTCGGTAGCATCAGATACCCTTGCCTTAAAAGATTTCAAGCACATTTTCTTTTATATTTGAGAATTTAAATTGCTGGCCTGGATTACTTAAGCAACCTTAGAAATAAACCACTGCTTATATCTGCATGAATATTATGCACTTCATGAGTACACTTAGTTGATTAGATATTTCAGATTTTGCATCTACTATAGACATGGGGACTTTTTTAACGTAACATCTTAGGAAGAGAATTCTCTCAAGATACTACACCATTTCCAGTTTTTATCCAAATGAAAAGCATACTTGCTTAAATTGCTAAGTGATTTTTAGGATGTCTTTGCTGAGAATATTTGGAGGCTCTTGTTAGGAAGAATCATTGATTACTTCTGATTTCTGCCTCAGAGAGTTTCTTGGGAGGCAGTAGGATTCAGTGACTACCCAAATGAGGGATCAACAAATCTCACACTTAGTTCACAGGATAATAGGTGCTAGTCTCATGTGCCCCAAGATGGGCTTATTTAGACAGGGATTTCTGCATTGGAAAAGCAGCACATTCTCTGGCTTTGGATACCAAGCTATGATACTAATGTGTTAATTTGAGGATCACATTCTGATAAATAAGTGAGCCATCTAATTGCTGTAAGCTGACATATATGGAAGCCAAAATCATTAAGTTTCCCTGGAACATCTCTTTAATAAATCCTGCCAGTGGGACTGAAAAGCTCAAACTGTTTTCGGCCTAATATTACACATTCGTTTTCAACTCTGCAGTGTCAATTTGGAAACAGCCAGTTTTTGCCTCTGCCCCACCTTCTTTCTGTAATTTACTGTTTAACTATTCTGCCTGACAGATTCCTTAAGTAGGTTGATTAAGCAAGATATCTCGAAGATTGAATGGCTAGGAGTAATTCTGTTCTCATATAGGCAACTTAACATTCACTGTGGAATCTATTAATTTCAAAATATTGAGGGCCATCTGATTTCCTTTATTTTCAAGTTTGGGGTGGAAACTCAAAACTCCCAAGCATTGCCACTTGAGGAGTTTGTTTAATTTGATTTGCCTATTGCTTAAAAGGAGTACATTCTTATTTTTAATGCATGTTTTTTTCAAGCAGCTTCATTTTATTAGAAAACTTCCTATGTATTCATTTGTTGTAAACAGTGATTGTGGGGTTTCATTTTCTGAATATACTCAAAACTCCCAACAATTGAATAGGATGTTTGCCAATAGAAAATCTGAAACAGGAATATGTGTATATGGCATGAATTAGTCATTGACTTTTATCTATACAAGGAACTAATAAAATTTGTTTATTCTCAACATAAATCCAAGACTCTAACATGTCTTAAGTTAATGTGAATCAGAAGTAAATTTCAGGCGGCGTGTAGGGGCTCATGCCTGTAATCCCAGCACTTTGGGAGGCCGAGGTGGGTGGAGCACTTGAGGTCAGGAGTTGGAGACTAGCCTGGCCAACATGGAGAAACCCTGTCTACTAAAAATACAAAAATCAGCTGGGTGTGGTGGTGCATTCCTGTAATCCCAGCTACTTAGGAGGCTGAGGCAGGAGAATCTCTTGAACCCAGGAGGCAGAGGTTGCAGTGAGCCTGAGATCGCTCCACTGTACTCCAGCCTGGGCGACAGAGCGAGATTTTCTCAACAACAACAAAACAGAATTAACTTTGTTTATTGCATTTTGTTTTGGAGTACATGTGAAGAACATGCAAGATTGTTGCATAGGTACACACATGGCATTGTGATTTGCTGCTTTCTTCCCCATCACCTATATCTGGCATTTCTCCCCATGCTATTTCTCCCCAACTCCCCACCCCCCACTGTCTCCTATTTCCCCCAGACAAACCCCAGTGTGTGATGCTCCCCTCCCTGTGTCCATGTGTTCTCATTGTTCAACAACCACCTGTGAGTGAGAACATGCAGTGTTTGATTTTCTGTTCTTGTGTCAGTTTGCTGAGAAGGATGGTTTCCAGGTTGTAGGGACATGGATGAACCTGGAAATGGAATTAACTTTGAGTCGCAGGAAAGTGAGACAATCTCTAGCATAATTGACTCTATCCAAGTAATTTCATGTATCATCAAGGAGTGCAGGCTTTGGGATCAGATGGTCCATGTTCTAGTCTCAGCCCTACCACTTCATAACAGAATGGCATTAGGTGAATTACTTGACCTCATGCTTTGATTTTCTTCCTTACAAAGTGTTAGTAGTAGTACCTGTTCATAGAGTTGTGTAAGGCTTAGATGGTCAAGGAAGGCTAGATAGAATAGATAGCATTAAAGAGAATCCTAGTAGAGGGATAGATTTGGAATACTGGATGGAATGATGAAGGCCAATCCAGATGTATAACTGGAACATATTAAAACACTGAATCCCTACTGTGTCCAGAATTCTTTTAAATTGTTCATTCTAATTTCTATTATGAGGTTTTCTTGTCTAACCTCTTGCATGACTCCCATAAAAACCACAAAAATAATTATTATCTGGGAGGAAATTATCCATTTAAATTCTTTTTATGTTTTGAGACAAGGTCTCACTCTCACCCAAGCTGGAGTGCAGTGGCGTCATTTTTGGCTTACTGTAGCCTCCGCTTCCCAGGCTCAAACAATCATCCAACCCCAGCCTTCTCCTGAGTAGCTGGGCCTATAGGCATGTGCCACCACACCTGGATATTTTTTTTTCTTTTTCTTTTTTTTTTTTTTAAGAAAAAAAGGAAGAAAAATAGAAGAAAAAAGAAAAAGAGAAAGAAAGAAAAAAAGAATAGAAAGGGGAAGAGAAAGAGGGAGAGAGAATGAGAATCTTGCTCTATTGCCCAGGCTAAAATGCAGTCTAAGAATGGGTATTAAAAACCTCTTTTATGCCAATAAATGTGCTTAACAATGGAACCAGGAAGGAATAAGGGAGGAAAATAACATACAAGCAGCCAGCCAATATTTCATTTAAACCTGTGAAATGCTATGCAATTGCTGGGGAGTGATTTACTTCCAATTTTTTGGTTACTTTTAGAATAGGTGTGATGTGATACTGAGAAAAATGTATGTTTTGTGGATTTGGGGTGGAGAGTTCTGTAAATGTTTATTAAGTTTACTTATTCCAGGTCTGAGTTCAAGACCTGGATATCCTTGTTAATTTTCTGTCATGTTGATCTGTCTAATATTGACAGTGAAGTGTTAAAGTCTCTCACTTGGGTACGTATATATTTAGGATCGTTAGCTCCTCTTGTTGCATTGATCCTTTTACCGTTATGTAATGTCCTTCTTTGTCTCTTTTGGTCTTTGTTGCTTTAAAGTCTATTTTATCAGAGACAAGAATTGCAACTCCTGCTTTATTTCCTCTCTCTCTCTCTCTCTCTCTCTCTCTGTCTCTTTCCTCTCTCTCCTCTCTCCTCTCTCCTCTCTCTCCTCTCTCTCCCCTCTCCTCTCTCCTCTCTCCTCTCTCTCCTCTCTCTCTCTCTCTTTGGTTTCTAAATCTTCCTCCATCCCTTTGTTTTGAGTCTTTGTGTATCCTTGCATGTAAGATGGATCTGGATGCAGCACACCGATGGGTTTTGGCTTTTTATCCAATTTTCCAGTCTGTCTTTTGATTGGGGCATTTAGTCCATTTAAATTTAGGATTGATACTGATATATATGAGTTTAATACTGCCATTTAATGCTAGCTGGCTGTTTTGCCCATTAGTTGATGTAGATTCTTCATTATGGTGATGCTCTTTACCTTTTGGTATGTTTTTGGAATGGCTGATACTGGTTGTTCCTTTCTGTGTGTAATGCTTCTTTCAGAAGCTCTTGTAAAGCAGGCCTGGTGGTGATGAAATCTCTGGGTACTTGCTTGTTTGCAAAAATATTTATTTTTTCTTCACTTATGAAACTTAGTTTGGCTGGATATGAAATTCTGGGTTCAAAGTTCTTTTCTTTAAGGATGTTGAATATTGGACCCCACTCTCTTCTGACTTGTAGGGTTTCTGCTGAGAGATCTGCTGTGAGTCTGATGGGCTTCCCTTTGTGGGTAACCTGACCCTTCTCTCTGGCTGCCCTTAGTATTTTCTCCTTCATTTCAACCCTGGTGATTCTAATGATTATGTGCCTTGGGGTTGCTCTACTTGAGGAATATCTTTGTGGTGTTCTCTGTATTACCTGGAGTTGAGTATTATCCTGCCTTGCTAGATTGGGAGAGTTTTCCTGGATAATATCCTGCAGAATATTTTCCAGCTTGGATTCATTCTCTTTGTCGTATTCAGGTACACCTATCAAACGGAGATTAGGTCTTTTCACATAGTCCCATATTTCTTGGAGAATTTGCTCATTCCTTTTTAGCCTTTTTTCTCTAACCTTGTCTTCTCGTTTTATTTCATTAAATTGGTCTTCAACCTCTGTTATCCTTTCTCCTGTGTGATCAATTTGACTTTTAAAACTTGTGCATACTTCACGAAGTTCTCGTATTGTGTT